CTGGTCTGATTGCAAGAAGAAAGCCGGCATACGTAAGCGATCCCGATCGTGATCAGATGAATCAACCACCCACACAGCGTGTATGGATTAGCTAAGAGCAATTTGAAGGTTACTTAGCTGCTGAAAAGCCTTGTTCGTCGACCCGCTGATGCAAGCCTGCCTAGAAACCTAAAGGGTGAATGCAGCTTTTGTACTCGCTAACAAGTACGGCAACTACAGAAAATGTGTTTCCTTTTCGCCAACGATGTTCACATACGACGGCCCAGATTCCAGCATCAAAGAGGCAACCTTGATTGCTTGCCTGACTGGCGGCTGAGTAGGGTTTTGCTACTAGACATCACCAGCGCTTTGAGCGAGCTGGCGAGTTTTTTTTACCGTTGCAAGAAGCGCTTACATGAAGAAAACACGGTTTAAGGCCTCGTAAATGACTAGGCAGCAACGTTTTACCTACACGTTCATAGCATTCTGTTCGACCCTATACGAAGATCATGCAGCTTTCCGCACCGGTATGAGTTTATTTACCGTCTATCATGAAACTAAGGGCGATATGTTCGGCGAAGCCTTCGACGATGAAGGCTTAGCAGCCAGTTAATGCAACTAAAAACTTACATTTCTGAGTATTTAAAACCCTTCCACCCACGACAAATACTTGCACGCGTTCTCTTCTGTTCAGCAGCACCGCACCGCCTGCATCTAGCGGTGCTGGAGCAACAACTGAATATTTCATAACACGACAGTCTTGGGGTCTTGAATAGCATGAATATCCCCTTCATGCCCTACTCTCCGTAGTAGCTGAAGCTGCAAATTTTTTTTTCATACTAATGCAATCATGAATTGAACGGCGCTCGTTAGTCATTCGCCTTCGTTTCAGTTACGTGCAGGCCGCGTACGTTTCATCACGGTATACAAGTGGTATTGCCATCTAGGAGATAGCTGCATAGTAGAGTTTATTTGTTCGTTGTTTACTTGAGGGCTCTGTGCTGATGCCTATAGCCGCTTCACTTCGTTCGCTTTCTCACGGATCGTACCCTCTACGTTTCACGAAGCTGTGCAGCTCTTATTCGGCATAGCTAGCTGCTATTGGGTTACTGCCTGTTCATTCTATTAATATGTTCTTCAGTGCAGCTACATAGTAGTGAAGGAACTAAGAATTTCAACTGCGTAGACGACTCCATACAACAGCAACAGCAGTCACGCTGGCTTGTCCCCATGACCCCAGCAAATACTTTGATTATCAGGACAACGGTATATAAAATAAATTAAATAAAAATGCAATTTAAACTGATGAAAAATTTCAAAGCTTTCCTTCGGTTGTCTCGCCCCTTCCCCCCCCAAATGTCCATCCATAGCTTTCTCAGAAGTTCAGATGCACTCCACAGCAGCTGCAACAGCAGTGCCATTAGGATTTGGCCTCAAATGAAGAGCAGCAGCAGCTCTGGGCGCAGCACCAGCTCTACCACTATCAACAGTAAGGCTGTAGAGCAGCTGGAGAGGCAGCAGCCGCATTACCATGTTCAGTTGCATGCGAATCGGCAAAAGAAGAGCGGAAATAAGAATATGAATGTTCCTCGTAGATGACTGCACAAAAGAAAGGCAGGGGTGATGAGGAGGATAAAGAGAAAAGAATACTCAAGCCTCCACCCCGGTCAGGCGCCTGTACACCTGATGCCCATGAGTTTCATCCAACANGAAAAGAATACTCAAGCCTCCACCCCGGTCAGGCGCCTGTACACCTGATGCCCATGAGTTTCATCCAACAGCAGCGTGTACTGCAGCAGCATCTTTTTGGCTGCTGCTGCAAGCTGCCTACACAACGGCCCACCGCTTCTTTTGCTGCTGCTGTTGTTGCACTGGTCGATGCTGCTGCCGATACCTTGCAGCAGCGGTAGAACCCGCATCAGCAGCGTACGTGTGTCGCTCTCTCCCGGCCGCAGCGCTGTTGTAGTTGCACTGATTTCATCTTCTAGCAGCTGAGCTGTTTCTGCTGCTGCTGCTTTATGCTCAGGCGTCGCAGTAGGAGCAGAAAAAGCGGGAAACGCGGGCGGGAACAACCACTGCTGCTGCTGCTGCTGCTGCTGTTTGTTTCTCTCCCGGAAGCGCCACAACAGCTTCCTTGCCAGCAAGCATGCAGCAGTTAGAAATACCCTCTCCTCCGTGTCAGCTATAAGGGGCCCCACAGCAGCATCCCCAACAAGAGCTGTTGTAATAGCAGCTTCTGGAGCCGCAGGTCGAGCCAGCAGCAGCAGCAGCGGCAGCTGCTGCCATATAGATGGGTTGGGGAAAGAGAAAGCCAACGCCTGCATAAGCCTCTGCTCTTCTAAGAAGCAGCTTTGTCGCTGACGCCAGTACTCCTTGATGCCTAGTGCTACGTATTCCCCTGCGAACTGCTGGTGCTGCTGCTGCTGCTTGAGCGGCTGCTGCTGCCTTCGACGCTCCTCCGCCGCCGCAGAGGCGTGGTGGCTGCAGAAACCTAAAGAAGCAATAACTCGCCTGAGATTAAAGTCTTCATCTGCTGCCTTTGCAGATAAAAAGAGAGAGGCAGAGAGGCTAGAAGAAACAGCTGAAGGGTCAATGTGAAAGAAAGAAGGCAAACTCATGTGAAAGGCTGCTGTTGCAGCTGCTGTTGTAGACGGTGCTGCCCCCACATCTGCTGCGGCGCGGGATAGCAGCAACGCCAGCTGCAGCCTAGCCTTGTCCCAAGCGGCTGTGCATACACCCCGAGGATACAGAAGAGGAGGCGGCGGGGGNGCTGCAGCCTAGCCTTGTCCCAAGCGGCTGTGCATACACCCCGAGGATACAGAAGAGGAGGCGGCGGGGGAGGCAGAGCCGGGGCCTCCTCCTCCTCTTCCTGTGCTTCCTGACCAGGAAGAAAGGGGCCGAACTGCACGTCCTTGTCTCCCATCTTCACAAACAAGATGCGCACGTATTGCTGCTGCTGCTGCTGCTGCTGCTGCTGCTACAGCTGCTGCTGCTGGTAATGCTGCTGCTGCTGGTAGTGCTGCTGCTGCACCACCCGCTGCTTTGCTCCTGCTGTAGCTATCAGTTTCGTCACCGATACATTGCCTTTTGTGTGCAGATGCCTAGAATTTTCAAGAGGCCAGCATTACAGAAGCATGTCGTCTTTTGGCTTGGGAGCTGTATATACACCTCTCCCCTAAGCCATCAGCAGGAACTCAGCAGGCGCTGCAGCAGGATCCCGGCCAAACATGCACGATCTAATGGCTCGGCTGGTGTATGTACAGAAGAGGAGAAGAGAAAAGCAAGTTTCGGTATCGTATTCTCTGCAGCGGTGAAGCTGTTTCGCGATGAAGCGGCGGAAAGCGCAGACTGTACCCCTCAATGGGGGGGAGGATAAAGACCCAAAAGTACTTTTAAATATAAAAAAAAACAAAAACAACAAAAACAAGTCCACTTGAAACGTAGCTGAGAGCAAACTCCCCAGTGAAACTCCTGGGGCCCCCGAGCTGTAGTGCGCAAGCACTGCGGTGAGCTTCAAATGAGGCGTCTAGAGGCCACTCTGCAGAAATAATGTAAATGATGTATTTTAATAAATAAAAAAAAATTAACTTATACAGCGAATATAGCATGCGTTCTAAGAATTCTCAGCATCCTCACTGGGTTTGGGGCTGGCTGTGTTGCTGACCCTCTGGCGGGGGCCCCGACCCCTAGGCGTT